AATCATTCTTTCTTATTTCAAAGCTAACAAAAATTCCCTTGGGATAATGAAGATGGGAAAGAGAATCTTTTAAGTCAGAGACATTTCAAAAACTGCACTTAATTATCAGACCCTTTTAGGTAAATTTTTGATTTTTTAATTCTTACGTAAAAGCTGTTATTTAGACTTGAATTGGTATATTTAGACATTCATCAAATTGTCATTTAATTATTCTAAAATCAGTCTTTTTTAGGAAATAGATGACTAATATTAGTGTCATCATTATCAGGAAATAGCTCGGCATCTGTGTGATATTTTTAGATGTATTGAAATCTTTTTACAGGTTTGGTTTTTATAGCACATCTTAGCTAGTTTCTGTGTTATGGAGGAAAAGATTCTCATTCTGACACAGTGGAGCTAGCTACATGATTCTAGAGAATTAAGTGTTGAGTGGGAAGACTTAGCTAGCTGGAGTAAAACATGGACTCCAAGGAAGTAATTTGCCTTCTGAAATTTTGGTTTGTGTTGACAGGAGGAGAGCAGGATATAAATGGTGAAGCAAAGCTGGGAAACATTCTTCTTCTTCATTATTAACCTTGATATAACAGAAATTATTTAAAATGCTTTGTCACCCTTAAAATATCTTCATGTTTGGAAATAACAGAAATTGTGTCTAATGATATGCTTTGGGATATTTGGACTCTGCTTTTGTTTTAGTTTTTAGTCAGATGTTGAGTTTAAGGTAATTTAGTGCTCTGAGATTCACCATCTAAGGTTTTTGTCATTCAGGTAGTGTCTTCTAGAGGAATGTAATAGATAACAGGATAAAAAGACTCGTGTTTTGTTGACCACTGATTGATCTGTATATGCCCCTCGATGCTACAGAAATATATGTGTTACTATCCATGGCCTTTTTTTTTCTGTTACAGTTTACAAAGTACATCATTTGTTAAGTAATTTTGTATTATTCCTGGAGGACAGCAGTGACTAGTAAAATCTCATCAGACTGGTACAGGTAGAAATTGCGTTCTAACCTAGCTCTTTTTGATGAAATAAGCACTTTATTACTTTTATCTTTAAGTATAATTTTCAGTTCGTTTCACCAATGTGCATTACTATCTTAGATGATATAATTTTTTAAGGCAGTAGGTTACTTGTACCTTGAACGTGATTGCAGAGTTAGCTTTCCTATTCCATTCTACCTAATAAAGATTAGAGAGAAACATTCAAAGAATCAGAAGTTTCCTCTGTAGGTCAAAGGTGGAGGTGAAGACTCTGTGGTTTTTGTTTGTTTTAAGAACACTTCCCATTTTATTCTCTCACTGAATAAGAACATTATACTGATTTATTCTTATTAAAAGTTTGCTGAGGATTGGCAGCATTTTTTTTGCTGTATTGTCAATGAAATACACATATGAAACAAAAATGAGTTTTCAAGTCCCCCTTTAATCTGGTTTCTGTTTACTTTCTTGTTGTTTCTATTCATTTACTCATGCATTACCTCTATCATTTATCTAACTTGACTTTCTTTTAGGTACAAGAGACCAAATTCATCAGTGTTACTTCCTAGATGTTCTTTTTTTTCTTTCTTTTACATATTGCCTTCCTCCATTAGGTTCCAGTTGCTGTTGTAGGTAGTGCTATGTAGTTGAATATTAATCTATCTCAGCCTTTCTCGGTCAGGGTTTTTCATCTGACCCAAAGAAGACTGAAAATTATTTGAGTAACTATTTTCTTAAATCTCTCAAGGATATATAATTACTACCATTCTAGTTGCATAGGAGAAAGTTATTTCACTACATACAAAGAGTGCCTTGGGGGAGTGGTTCTCAAAGTATACTGTTGGATTCAGACCATTTCAGAGGTCTGAAGGGTCAAAATTATTTTCCTGACAATTATAAGACATTATTTACCTTTTTTGTTCTCATTCTTTCTTTTTTCTTTTTTTGGTGAAGAAGATTGGCCCTGAGCTGACATCTGTTGCCACTTTTCCTCTTTTTGCTTGAGGAAGATTGTCCCTGAGCTAACATCTGTGGCAGTCTTTCTCTATTTTGTATGTGGGACACTGCCACAGCATGGCTTGAAGAGTGGTGTGTATGTCCGTGCCCGGGATCCCAACCTGCAAACACCAAACCGAAGCAGAGCATGTGAACTTAACCACTGCACCACCGGGCCATCCCCTACTCATTCTTTAACAAGTGTGCAGTGGAGTTTTCTAGAGGCTACGTGGTGTGTAGTCTTAGAATAGATTTAATGTAGAAGTAGATATGAGAATTTAGTTATCTTCTATTAAACACAACATTACAGATATTTGCAAAGATGTAAAACAATGCATCTTAAATATTCTTGCCAATATTTTTATTTTGCAAGATATATTTTTCATAAAAATATATTGTTTATGCTAATGTGTAATGGGTTTATTTTGTTTGTAATTAACTAATAAATACATGAGGCAGTCCTCACTTTGCACAGTTCCAATATGCATTAATTTCAGTTACTACAATTTAGTAAAATAATTCCAGTCCCACAACAACGAGTTCCAATTTGACTACCTCTGTGTATTAACTGTGAGTAATTGCATGAAATAAAATTTTGCTGCTAGTTCTTTAGTCCACATATCACTGTGTAAATAACACATGCACATCATGATCAGTGACCAGTCACATCACTTCCTTCAAAGTCTGTCTAGGATTGGTCACTGTTTATCTGTCATTAGTTCATGCACAGAAATCAAAGCCTGTAGTTGTGTAACCTCCTTGTCTCCTAGTGATAATCACACATGTTGTTTTATGAAATGGACAATTGAAAGAGTGAGTTGGCCGACAAAGATAAAAGTATGATAAAGAAATGGAAAGTGATAATGTTGGAAGTGAAATTTGAACATAAATGGAACATTTGGAACATAAATGGAGTTATAGAAGAAATAGTTAATCATGGGAATGTTGACACTGCTGCTGTTCAAGAGAATTTAGATATGCAGCCAAAGGAACTTAGTCAAGGCGAACGTATTGATGTAAATGAGCAAAGTGGTCGTGACAAAAAGGTTGAAGATGTCCCAGAGGAAGTGACAGTGGCAAACCAGTTCACATTTTAGGGCCTCTCAGAGGTTTTCACAACTTTGAAAGTGCAAAGGATAAAATGTTGGGAACTGATCCAAACTTAGGAAGGAGTACGACAGTTTGCCAAGGTATAGGAAATATGTTCATTCCATACAATGAGTTATACAGTGAGAAGAAAACAAGCACTGTTCAAACTACTCTTGCTAAGTGTTTTATAAAGAAGACACTTTAATTCTCAAGATTTCTAATGTTTTAAATTACAGCATACTAAATAAAAGTTCTATTTTTTTATACATTATAACTAGCAGTGATGTTTAATGTTTTGACAAAATTTGTAAGAATCACAGAACAATTGTAATTCTTTCCATTGATTATTAAGATCACTTTGCATGGTTTCAGCTTGCACAGTCATTATTTGTGGTCCTACTGTACTGTGCAAAGTGAACACTGCCTTTGTTTAAAAAATTCCTCCCTTTAGTTTCTGATATAGTAAGTATTGATACATATAAGCCATGGAAACAAATCTCTTCATATTTCCCTTTACACTCGTCTCCTGGATTTTCTGTCCTGGTTGAATAGTATAACCAGCCAGCCTAAAGCCTAAGCAGCAGTTTGTACTCCAGTATCTCCTTCATAGTTTATGTTTCTAATTGTTTAATACCTCTCATAATTATCCTCTTCTCTTCATTCCCCACTGACTCTTTACTTAGGCCCTCATCTGTCCCCCTGTATAGGGTATGACTATAAAGGGATAGCATGAGGGGATTGCTTAGGGTGACAGAACTGTTCTGAATCCTGATTTTGATGGTAGTTACACAAATGTATACGTGTTAAAAATCAAACCCCTTGTTTTCTTTCCACGATATTGAAATTTAAGTATTTCTTTGCCATTCTTTGAAAATAGGGCTACAAATAAATCAGCAAGTACTTACTGAGTACAGTATTCGAGGGATTGTCCTACGTGCTGAGGAAGATATAAACATAGAGAAGATATGTTTCTGCCCTGAAGGAATTTATATTCTAATAAGATAGAAATAGACAACACAAATAACAGCAGTAAGATAAATTAATTGTCTCTTAAGGGAGATACACGCAAAATGCTAATGTGTGCTAGAAATGTGTAGGAAGATAATTCTTCATTGAAGAGATGGCATTTGAGCTGAGTCTTGGAAAATGCATTGATTTTTGGCAGTAAAAAAATAGAGACAAAGGGGCCAGCCTGGTGGCACAAGCGGTTAAGTGTGTGCGCTTTGCTGCGGCGGCCCAGGCTGCGCCGGTTTGGATCCCGGGCGCACACCGACACACTACTTGGCAAGCCATGCTGTGGCGGCGTCCCATATAAAGTAGAGGAAGATGAGCACGGATGTTAGCTCAGGGCCAGTCTTGCTCAGAAAAAAGAGGAGGATTGGCATCAGATGTTAGCTCAGGGCTGATCTTCCTCACACACAAAAAAATAGAGACAAAGGACATTCTGATGAGAAGGAAAAATATAGCACACTTTACAGATTTGTGTTTTCCTGTTTATAGCTCATAAAAACTTTGGATCTGCATTTCATGAAGACTCACATCCTATTTTGTTCAGTTTTGTGTTGCAGAACTCTTAAAAACATTTGGGTCTGATGCTCAAATTTCTTAAAGGTAGTAGTATAGCTTTTGAGTATTTTGGAGTTAATAATTTAAGTCATTTTTTGATTCCGATTTTAATGGCTGTGAGGACAGGGAGCTATTCCTAAGTCTTAGTGTAATCAATAGATAGTAAATATATAAGTGAAAAGCCTAATATTTCTGTAAAATGTTCTATTCACAGAGTGAATTTGAATAAATGGAGTTTTCAGAATATATAATCTTATGAAGTATTTATATAATTAATACTTCCCCAAATTGGTTTCCTTTCAGTTTGCCTGCTTAGGTGGATGAATCAATTTGGCTTAAAAGCAATAATAATAATCCTTTTTTTCATAGGTTTTCTGTAAAGACCCTGATTGATCGGTCCTGCTTTGAGACAATTGATGATTCTTCTCCTGAATTTAACAATTTTGCAGCTATTTTGGAACAGATTCTAAGTCACCGGCTAAAAGGTAACAGTGCTAATGTATTATTTATTCTCGCAACAGCTCTCTTTTTAATAAGCTTAAAATTTTAGAAACCATAGAACCATAGAACTTGAGAAACATAAAACTGATTGTAGAACACCTAATCTTTTGGCCTGTGTCCCTGGAAAATAGTCTTTATTCTCAGATTTATACCCATTTGTGGAATACATTAAAATGTTGAGTATATTGATTGCCACATACAAGGAGTGAGTCGCTTTCTATAAGTAATTAAAATAAGAGCTTAAAATAAAAGGTAACCCATCTGCAAAGGTTACTAGATGGTATTTTAATCCATTTATAAACAAGCATCCTGGCATTAAGTTTGTTTGCTTAATCTCTTGCTTCATTAAACTGCAGAATGTTTGAAAATTTTTTATCATCAAGTAGGTTAAAAACGAGATGTGTCAAGGAGATGCTTGACTTTGGTTTTCTTAAAATCAGTAAGTATACTTACAGCAGAAACACAAATCGCTTAAAATTTAAAAAGATAAACGGGAGCTATGTTCTCTCAGGATTATAAAATATTTTTTAATTAAAAATAGGTATCTGTAAAATATAGCTGATAACTTCAAGAAATATTGTGTAGCGTAAATTTTAGTAATAATAAATAATAACTTTATCTCATTAATTTCGTTATCTAGTCTTCCTAAAGGAAACTTGATCATTACATGTTTTCTCTTAAGTTTTTATCATCTTTACAATTTTAATGATATAGTTTCGAATCAGTCATCTGCTTTAGTAATATAATTTATGAGAATCTCAAATTTTATCTGAAGGTTAATTCTAGTCTGTGCTTTTTGATGCATCTAGTTTTATTGTAAATGTTTAAATCAGTTGAGCAGTCCTATGGGCTTATAACAAAGGATTGAATTTAATTTCATGGGGAACAAAATCTGAATACAGTCAGCTGTTTGCAATTTAAAATGGGGTCCATAAAAATCACTGATGCTTTTTTGTTAGAAGCTGGTTATTTTGCATTTAAAAAGGGTTATTTTTTAAAATTTTTGCTGTTCTGCCTGAATTTTCCACCATTAATATGTTACCTTTTATAAGAAAATAAGTTTTTATAAAAGCAAAGGATATGAGAGTATTTTGAGATATTGTTGTGGTTACTATATTGTGTGGTGATCATATTGTTAAATTTTATGTATAAATTTATAAATAATACCTGACTGAAAAACACATAGAATACACTAGAGCTTGATGTATCTTAATGTTTACAAGTGTTTTATGAGACCTCAGTTCCCTTGATTCGGCCTACCATTTAGCATATGATTCACTCACAGAATACATAAAAAACTATCAATAGAAAACAGGCCGTGTTCTGATATCCATGCTCAGTGATTAGGTAGACTCATTACCACATAAGTGGACCCCTACTGCACATCTGTCTGCTATCTTCTGAGTCATGCCTCAGCAAAATATAAATCATACACCTTTAGAATGACTTCTTAGCAATGAATGTTATTTCTGAGAAGCCAATGTACTACTACATTGAAAATAGAATCTCTAGTTAATTTGTTGATAAGAATTCCATTAGTATGACTATGACAGTAATAAAGATGATACAGTGAAATTTGTGTTAATTTTTTAAGCTACGTAAGATTAATAATTCAAAACATGCTTTCAAACAAAGTTCCTGTAGATTGACTATTGTGGTCACAGTTATTAGTGTAGGTTTGAATCATGAAATGATCTATAACTTTCGAGATCAGGTATTTTAAAGACTCAAGTGTCTGGAGACTTCTCTATATTATTTCCTGTTTTTTAGTATTCTAGTATATAACAAATTGCATTTAATTTTGGAGAAGTTATGTAATTTTCTGATAGTACAGTGTTTACTTAAAATTTAGTTATATAACAACTAATTTTTCCAATGTTTTTCTTTATAGCAGTACAAATTTAAAATGTATAACTTCATCAGTTTGTAAGACACTTTTCTCCAGCTATTTTTTATTTTTGAAATGAAAGGGCATTTAGTTTACATATTAAATTTTTCTGGAGAAAGATAAAATCTACCCCCAGGCACAATATAGGCTGTGCTGACACAGGTAAAGTGGAGAGCTGAAACAGTTATCTACTTAATTCATTTCTAAAAGCTCCATTATTGGGGAAAAGGAAGCTTTAAAATCACATACGTTAATCTTGTTTACAGTAATCCCCCAGTAAGATGATGATCTTACTTTTCTGGAATATGGCTGAGAACTAGGAATTAATCACAGAAGACAGAATTCAAAGAGACCCTGGTTCAGGTCTTCAGTTCAGTAATTTTTGAACTTTAATTTTAAAGCATAATTCTTCTCTCCACCCCACTCCCACCTCCCCTAGTAAAAGCCACTTCAGATGCTAGATATGTAAGTGGAAGGTTTTGTTGAAGCAGGGTGGGGAAATCAGGCATTTTTCCCTGCTCAGCAGCAATCCCACCTCTCCGTGCAACACCGCAGCACCAGTTGAGGTAGTGCTGTGGATCATGGATTAAAAATCACTACTCTAGGGGGCCGACCCGGTGGCGCAAGGGGTTAAGTGCACGCGCTCCGCTGCGGCAGCCGGGGCTTTGCCGGTTCGGATCCCGGGCGCTCGCCGACGCACTGCTTGGCAAGCCATGCTGTGGCGGCGTCCCATATAAAGTGGAGGAAGATGGGCATGGATGTTAGCCCAGGGCCAGTCTTCCTCAGCAAAAAAAGAGGAGGATTGGCAGATGTTAGCACAGGGCGATCTCCTCACAAAAAAGAAAAAAAAATCAGTACTCTAAGGGCCGTCCCGTGGCGTAGCGGTTAAGTGCGCTCACTCTGCTGCTGGTGGCCTGGGTTCGGATCCCGGATGCACACTGACGCACCACTTGTCAGGCCATGCTATGGCGGCATTCCATATAAAAAAAAGTGGAGGAAGATCGGCACGGATGTTAGCTCAGGGCCAGTCTTCCTCAGCAAAAAAAAAAAAAAAAAATCACTACTCTAGTCTCTCTCCTACTGAAGTAATCCACTCAATGATATTTCTAATTGCCGTACATACAGTCTTTGTTTTAATAGTTCTGATATCTGGAACGTAGGATAGTAAAGCAGTCCATCATATTTTTGGGCAGTTCAGATTGTTAGAAAATTCTTGTGTAGGGAAAGCCAACCTATCTGACTGTGCTTTGGACTATTTTCTGCCACTTTTTTCAATTGTGAGCCTAATAAATATAAAAAGATTGCTATTATATAACCCTTTCTCCTCAGTTCCCCTTTTTCTTTCTTCCAGGTAAGTTATCCCTAGGTTCTTCTATCATCTGGAAGCACTATAATCTTATTCTTTTAGTTTATCACTGGTTTGTTAGTATTCCTCCTAAAATCTGGTACTCAGAGCTGAGTAAAGTGCTTCAGATAGGCTAACCTCTGTATTAGTCAGAATTTAAGATTACATTGACATTTTGATTCCCACTTCATACTTTCGGTTTACACTGAAATTATGACCAAGTAAAATCCCAAGGCTTTTTAAAATTGAACTATTGCTTCTCATTTAGGTTCTCTAAATGAGTTGCCTGAGCTCAAGTTTGATAGGGATATCAAACTTCATTATCCACTTTAGAGATGGATGAACTGGCTGTAAAAATGAAATTTAGGGAGGACTTCTACTTCCAGGAAGATGAAGTGAACATACTTTTCACTGTTTCTCCCACTAAGTAGAACCAAAAACTCTGGATATTATATATAAAACAAACACAAAAAGACTCTGAAAGGTAGAGAAAGGAAGACTGTCTAGGGATTTCAGGACCTTAGGAATGACATGATAGGTTCCTTGGATTTTCTGGTTGCCTCATATATCCAAATCTGGGTATTAGATAAGCCAGTAACCTGCAAGCATCAACGGGCACAAAAAAAAAAAAGTCCCAACAATGGCCTGCTCTCTCTAGCTAAAGGTCCAGGAATAGAATAGCCTAGCATCATGGAAAACTTCTAGACAGTATCTGCTGTACTTCAGCCAAATACCACAGGAAAACTGTGGCACTACCCCGACTCAGGCCAGAAAAAGCTGAGTGGGGAACCTAGAATTCCACCCTCATGAGGTAACAGAGTGTCCCAATACAACCATCAGAGTGTATCAGAGAAGGCCAAGCAGAGAGCTGGGACTTCTTTCCTCCTAGCTGGTTGTGAACCTTTTCTCCCCACCGACCCCAACAATGTGTCAACGGAGAGCCTGGACTTCCATCCCTACCCAGCAGTAATGAAGTGTTGCTTTCCTGTCGCGCTTGGAGGTTGTATCAGAAAAGGCCTTTTGGAGAGTTATAGCTTTCACCATCACCCAATGGTAACGAGGCTACCTCTAGTGCATTGTCAGTGGAGACCATTTGGGAAGCCTGAACTCCCACCTCCACCCAGCAGTAATGAGGACTCCCCGCTCAAGTGTCAGTAGAGGCCAACTGGGAAACTTGGACTTCTCCCTCTACTTGGCAGTAATGAAGCAGTACCCACCCCCCCACCTTCCCTTGCCAGAGCAATATCACAAAAAGCCAGTTAAAACAGAAGGTTTAAATACGATTCAGAGGGCCGGCCCCATGGCTTAGAGGTTAAGTGTGCACGCTTCACTACTGGCGGCCCGGGTTTGGATCCCGGGCGCGCACCAACGCACCGCTTCTCCGGCAATGCCGAGGCCGCATCCCACATACGGCAACTAGAAGGATATGCAGCTATGACATACAACTATCTACTGGGGCTTTGGGG